CTCAATGTAATGGCAAGCGTAGCAGCCCTGCAAATGTTTGATCACAACACTGCTGGCAGAAGGGGCACCCCCACTAGACGGGGCCTCTAGAGAGGGCAATTGGCCTCCTCTTCCACGCTCTCCAAATGTCTTGAAAGAGGTGGGAGTTTACCCCTCTGCACGCGAACTGCCGATCAACCGACCGACTGGTCAACCCGTTTACACTGCTGGGTGCACAGAGGTGGGGTGGGGTTGGGGGGGGTTTAAGAAACTTGTCCCGTTGTTTCAGCGGCCAAACCAGCGACCCCCGAGAGAGTTTTAACCATTACACCTCGGCCGCATCCTTCAGTGCTGAAGATCTGTTTTGAATCACTGGTAGCTGCCCAGAATCAAACCCAGGATCTCGGCGGAGCCCTGGACATTGAACTGGCGCTCCTCCGTGCCGAGTGACCTTGGCTTGAACCTCGAATCTTGGAATTGCCAGCTTAATTCTCCTCTGAGCATCGCGGCCTCATTGTTTAGAAGCTTATTAGCATCGCTACGGCGAAAGTGTCATCAACTTTGGACAAAACAAAAAAAATTATGAAAAGCGAACGGGGAGAAGGAGGTGCTGGCGTGGCGAGTGGCAGGATTTTAGTGGCTGCCTGCCGCGATGGAGGCCGCCCTCCTGCCTCTGCGAGTGATGCCACGTCCGCCCAGATTAATGGAAGCTGGCAGCGTGCAGCTGTCTCCTCCCGCCCACACGCACCCTAATGGAGCGGCCCCCAGGTCGGCAGAGATTAAATCGATTCCCGAACCTCTCCCCCCCCTGCCCGCCTCCTCCCTCTCTCGCGCCCGGGCAAGCAAGCGGACGAGCAAGTGGGCGAGCGGGCGGGTGGGCGGGCGGGTGGGCGGGCGGGGGCGAAATCGCGCTGCCGATCTCGATCGGCTTAGAATTTAGGTTTTCGTCAATTTCTAAACCCCCGCGCATAAATCTTGAGTTTCAGTGGACATGAACGGAATTTATTCACACGTTTTGTTTATGGTCTGGCATCTAATCCAATTCTATCAGCACGTTTGCCAGATTTGTAAATATATATATATGATGCTACCATGGTGTAATGGTTGACGCACGGTGGAAGTCCGCGGGTTTGATCTCCTGGTACGGCGGTGGGAAAAAAAACTTGGATGTTTCTTAAATCTTCCGGCCTCGGCAGCATAAATGGTGAGCTACCCCACTGTCAGTCGATCGACAGGTCGTGTGTGTGACGGGGTAAAGTGTGGGTACTCCCACCTGTTGCGAAATATTTGGCCGTCGTGGAAGAGTAGGCCAAAAATATCTTGTCAAGGGGGGCTCTCTTCCTCGCTCTCTCTCTCTCTCTATCAGTGGAGGCTCTTTTTGTAATTTGTCAGGAGTGGCACGAGTAAATAAAGATCCTTAACCATTATCTTTTACCGAATTTATTTTGGAAATATGGTCAGGAAAGATGTGAAGCTATATAAAAAAATATATATAATAGTTTTACAAACATGTTATTTATGGGACCTCCTTTTGCCAGTAAGTCCCATGATGTAGATGCTCACCCCGAGCTCTCATTACTCTGAGAGTGCATTTTCTTTGCGCTGTTCACCTTTTGGCGTCCTCTGGTCTAACACCGTATGAGACGAGGCTCAAAAGAAAGCTGTCTCTGGTGTGGGCCAAACAGTTTCAAGGACAATGCATATATTAAGAGAGTATTTTTTTTGTTTGCATTCTGACCACAAGTATTGTGATTAATGCAGACACGATTCCTTGTAAAAAGGTTAAAATTTTGTTGCCAGAAAAAACGGGAAAAAACTATTCTTACGTGATTCATAACTCTCTTCGTGACACCGGTTGCGTTGAGCAGATTGCCCTGTGCTCGGGTGATGTTCGACTTCATTATCGCTAAACACGATTAAGATTGTGTACACTGTATGCGTGCAGTCGTGCATGCCAATGTTCCAATATTTAGTAAAACATTTAAAAAATATGCACGACATGCGTGCGTGCGTATGATCAAGGTGATTTAACATTTTTAAGACAAGACACAAAAAAACAAATATATATCGTGATAATTTGCAGGCTTGTAGTAATGTACCGATCGTAAAATAAAGGACATATTAACGTTCCATATATTTAAAGTGTAGTACTTTGCTAAAAATTTAACATGTACGTACTTTTACTGGTAGGAACCCACTGGTTCCACCAGCCCACGGGATTATTGTGTCTGTCCGTCGTGCAGGGAGGGGCTGGGTGGGGAGGGAGGGGCTGGGTGGGGAGGGGCTGGGTGGGGAGGGGAGGGTGGGGAGGGGCTGGGTGGGGAGGGTGGGGCTAGGTGGGAGGGGTGGGGCTGGGTGGGAGGGGTGGGGCTGGGTGGGGAGGGGCTGGGTGGGGAGGGTGGGGCTGGGTGGGAGGGGTGGGGCTGGGTGGGAGGGGTGGGGCTGGGTGGGAGGGGTGGGGCTGGGTGGGAGGGGCTGGGGCTGGGTGGGAAGGGTGGGGCTGGGTGGGGAGGGGCTGGTCACCCCGTGGTGCCCTTATAAAACTCAACGTTTAACCTACTCACGCCGGCTTGTGCCCGCCCTCACAGTTGGGCATATTTGCGGAATACACCACGCCGCTGTTGACCCTGGCCATTGACCGAGCAACCCAACGTTCCTACCAGCAGCTCCCTCCGCAGGAATGTGTTAGTACATTGTCCTCTAGACTTTATGACCAGGTAACGATTTGTTTGCATGCACGTTTGTGCGTGCGCAATTTTCACTCCAATCACAACTGTTTGAAATTGTTTCCTCCCAAAAAGAGTTGTGCCACATCCACTGTGTGGCAAATCGGTTTTTTTTTCTTCAAAATTGAATGTTATGATAATGAACCGGCAAAGCCTTACAAGAGCCGCGTGGGCGCAGTTGATGGCGAGGCTGCTGGGGTGGTGTCGGATTGGCCTGGGAGAATGGTGGCCATCAATCAGGGGTACCCCAGTCCCCTCCACCGACCCCCCCCTCCCTTTCGCTCCTCACCTTCACCGGATCCTAGTACGGCACACCCAGGCAGGCACATGCCCGTCCCCGCCCCCACCCCACGCCGTTGGACCGGGTGTGCCGCATTACGACTGGGCCCTTTCCAATCTCCCCAAAGCCCAGGGCTTATAATGCGATTTCAGTCCAATCGATATCGCGCTCGGCGCGCGCCCGGCCGTGCTGAGGCTGCCACAGGACAACGCCGAAAGGTCGCCGTGAGTTTTTTGGGGCACAATTTCTTTTTTTTTCTAAGCATGGTAGACGGTGGCTGGGGTGGCACTAAAGAGGAAAAGTCAAATCGCTGGTCCCGGCATTTGTGAGATCGTGGGGGCCATGGCTCACAGGGATGCACCCTAGGGTTTGTTTGCTCCCTGCCGTGCCGAAGGGCTGTCAAGAGTAGGGAGTGCTGGCAGCACAGATGGCGTGGTTCTGCCCCGCTTGTGCGCGTGCTTAAGCCACGCCGTGCAACGGAGTTGCCGTGAAGTTTTGGCGGTGGCGGGTTAACACGACGCCCAAGTATTATCTAGCCCTAATGTGACCTTAACACGGGCCGCGATACTAACCGCGACCCTCATGCTTAACCCCAGCACTAAATGTAGTAGTGAGCATAACCTTAACTCAACAGCACTACTAACCTTCGACCTTTTATTAAACCCTGACCCAGCATTAACAGTTACCAATAATCCTCACTGGAACACTGAACCTTGAGCCTAATCGAAACAGACCGACTCTAATTCTCATGATCCTAACCTTAACCTGTTGCTTATCCCTGGGCTTAACCTTAATGCTGGGTCATGCTCCATCGCCAGTCCTATTTGTAGCTGAAATGCTATCTCAAACAGATGAGCTCAGGGAAAGGTTCTAAAGGCTCAAAGAAAAACATCCCAAAGGCTCGGACAGGAAAAATAAGCAAAACAATATTTACGTGCAGTGCAATGTAGACAATCTATTTTCACAACATGCGATGTGGAAACGTCATCTTCGGGTAAACCGAGATGACGTTCATGTTTTTCTTATTTCGAGTGTTTCTTTGTAGCGCAACATTCATCAGATAGACTTAAGTGTGCTGGTGAATGCCTTCCAGAGATAGTGGTCCCAAAATCATCCAATGGCATACTGGGAGTGTTTTTCAGAGTATTGTGTATTTAATAATAAAAAAGGGCATTAAAAGCATTTGTAGCCCTCAATATGTTATATGATTGTATCACGATTGATGGATTGTAATTCGATCGTCGGTCATGATTGCTGTAAGAAAACCTCACAAAAATGTATATTCACAGTACGTGGCTTTGAAACCAGGTGTCGCGTGAAAAATATTTCACGTCTCCAATGAGCTTTACTCGGCCTTAAATCATCATCCTCGTTGCTCTGGTCTCTCCGGAGCCGGATGAAGGCCTCCCTAAGTTTCCACCATCCTTCAGTGTCCCACAATGCACTGTTGCAAACGAGATGGTCACTTCACTTCGTCGCTGTGCGGAAACTCTTTGCTTTCAATGCTGCCTGCCTTGAAGGTTTTTGATCTGTAAACCTCGGCTTTATAACCTCGTCATGCAGTGTAAATTACCCCAAAAGCTTGAATATCTTGTATAAATTGTACGTGATAATCATCGTGCTGCAGAATACGCGACGCATCCCGAAAACGCGGCAGAAAGAGATTCGTCCAGACGAGCGAATGAATATTGAAGACTTCGCCACAGTTCTGACAAATCACCGATGAGGCTGGTTGTAAATTACCAGCGAAACATCGTACTCAAATTGTGCTTGAAGTAGTAACAAATTGACACGTTTTCTTTTTGCGTGGCAAACCTTACTAATTGGCTGTGTCGGGTGGTGGCGGGTTTAGCGACACGTTTTTATTTACGCGATCCAAATACTTTTACCGTGAATAACATTGGTCGCGAAAGCCCTACCACGTCTTTAAACTGAATATGGATCTCGGTGTGGGGGTGGGTTGGGGGGAGGGCCCGTTGGCTGATCCCGAGTGGCCACCGTTCTCGCCCCCGCAGCGGGACAGCTGAGCCAGTCGGCGCACCTCTCCCTGCAGCTGCCGTACGCCGTGCTGGGCCTGGGCCGCAGCGCCAACTTCATCGACCGCCTCGCCGTCGGCATCCCCCGCCCGCCCGGACAGCAGGTGGGTAGAAAACAAAGCTTCCCCCCCCCCCCCCCCCCCCTGATCCCCGGCCATCGATAACATTAGGGGCGAGTACTATCTGAACTTGTCCTGTTCCTTCTTCGGTTGACTTAAATGAGCAAGCCGTGCGAATATCGACATCGGGGAGTCACGCGTGCCACCTCTCGTACAGCACATGCCCAAGAGCTAATAGACCCGGCGGTGAATCTCGCGTGCACGCAGAAGCAGGCGGCAACGTCGGGTTCGCACATTTAGCTCTGGCCCGTGGCCAAATCACCCGGAATGCACCCGAGATGTCATTGGAATCTACTCGGAAGGCGCCGCCACCTGGGCCCCCCTCCCCCCAACAACGCATCGGAGTGCGCCCACAGCGTGCCGCGCGAGTGAGGCTCCCGCACGCCAGAGGTCGCAACCGGGTAACCGATACCCGTACCCTACCCGATACCCGGCTACCCGTACTCAGCCGGGTACGGGTACGGGTAGCCGTTTGCGACCCTGGTGCGGCCGGGTACGGGTACGGGTAAGGAATCAAAACCCGTTTGCGACCTCTGCCGCACGCCGCCACACCCGCGCGATCGCCGCCCGTCAAGTCGGCTCTGCACACCAAGACACATTTGCACGATTTGCTTCATTGACGCACGAAAGGAAATGGTTCATATTGGATACCGCCGCAATTACATTTTAAATGGAGCCTTTTTGCCACGTGCGAATGTGTGCGGAAGTGAGCGTCAGCGTGCGTGGGTGGGTGTGAATGTGTGAGCGTATGTTTGTACGGGTATGCGTGCATGAGTGTAAATGTGTGTGAGTGTACGTGTGAGTGTATGTGTGAGTGCGTCTGTACTTGTGTGTGTGGAGCAGTTAGTGCGCTGCGCGACAAACCCGGCTACCCGAGTTCGATTCCCACTCACAGCCACAAACACCAGTGACAATTGTCTAAACCGGTCCTGGGAACTCCCCGAAGTAGACTCAAATGGATATCTGGTGCGGTGCGTAAACATCGCCACTAAGGAGACATAGGCAGCCGGGCAGGCTGCTGGCCACCCATCCCCTTGAGTGCCGTACCAGCCGGAATGCACCCAATGTCATCAGACCTGCTCAGAAGCTAAGCAGGTTTTGAGCCTGGATAGTCCTTGGATGGATGACCACCATGCACAAACATAACTGTAATAAACTATTAAACATTTTTTTTATTTTACCAGGTAAGACACTGAGCTATATTGCTCTTTTTTTTTCAGAAACGACCTGGCTATCGCAAATGATAGATCAACGAAGTGGCTTATCACGTGGAAATGTATTTAAATCAGCCAGATACTCTCAGGGCATGTTTCTAAATGTGGAGAGAAAAACCGGAGGATTCCGAGAAAAATTCACGTGACCACGAGGATAAAATGTGAACTCCAAATATAAAGGCGTCAGGGCCAGAATCGGACCCACTCCTGCATACCAGGCGAGGTAGTTAACATCTCGCCACCGCAGAGCCCACCCATCATATATGCCATTTAACCGCTCTGAGGTTACCCTAGACACACACACACACACACGCGGCATGACAATGGTGGCTTGTAGGGCCGTGGGAAAGAAGCGCGTATTCTCGTTTGAGGACGTTTGCCTGGGACCTGCTTTGTGCTGCTGCCCCTTTGTGTGGGTGAGCGTCTCAAATCGCCTCTCCACTTCCTTTGACCGTTAAATATGAAGTGTGTTCCTCCCCCTGGCCTCTGCACTAACCCTCCCTACGCCCCCCCCCAAATCCCCACACTGCCCCGTCCCGCACCCCTCCCCCGCATCCCCCCCCCCCCCCCGCATGCTCTGAGTTAAGCCAAAATTGCCTGTGGCACAGAATCGATGCTGCTGCCTTTTCTTAGCGGCAGGGGATGCGTTTGTGCGAGCGCGCTAAAAATACACGGCCCACCCTGATGAGTTCCCTAACTGTGCATAGCTGCTACCGACCGCCGTGATTGCGGACTAAAACGGGCCATCTTTAAAGGAGACGGGGCAGCTTAGAAGATGGGGAGGGGAGGGGGGGGGACCGTGTTTAACGTTATACGTTGAGTAAATGATTTCTCAATTCAGACTTGGCTTCAGAACTGAATACGCTTCGAAGCGTAGTGTTCTGATGTGTATTCGGGTTGTGCCGCGCGCCGTTCGGCATCAACGACGACTGGTCCACGTACGATGGACCGGCTAAAAAGTGTCTATGTGCGAGAGAATTATCTACGACTTATCCACATAATGCGCCGGTGATATGCCGACGTTACGTTTAGGCTAATTGCGTGAATGAAACTGATAAAAAAATTATATTCACATTTTTGTGACGCCCAATGTTTAATATTATGAAATGGCGACAATTCCTGGAATCTTTGTGGGGATTAACTCCTTATATACCGAATAAGAAGTACTGCTCATACTAAATAAATCTCTATTTGTATCACCTGACATGGTAACGGTCGTTTAAACATCTCCAATTATTTTAATTTGCATCAGACATAATTTTAACTTACATTTATTTAAAAGTTGAAGTTTGCATTTGTTTCACTTTGGGTTCATGGTTACTGCTAGATCAGTGAAGTTTCATGGCACCCCTAACTTTAACGACAACAGCAGCAGCAGCAACAACGTCGCCTGCTCGGTCTAAAAACACAGCCCGTTGCCAATTTCTAGGGTCCTTGGTTCAACGGGCGTCTCATTTGGTTTTGCTTTCTTGACCACGTCGGCACGTGTTGCCGTATAGTGAGCAGGTTGGGGTCTCGTGGCTGCCCATTGAAATTGTAATGGGGGCTGGAGTTTTCCAAATTTCATCTTGGCAGCTGAAACGTAAATTCATCATGGCAAAGTTTTTCCTTCTTGACACCGCGTTCTTAAAAGTTGCACTCGTCCACTTTTGTCGCAGCAGCAGCAGCAACATAAAAAAAAACATATCGAGGGCCTTTGAATTTCTCATTTGCAAGGCTGTATATGTTTCAATTTTAAAAAGGAAAATAAATATTTTGCTTTAACACCTTTAAAACCGCAATTGATGGCCACATTAAGTGGCCCTTTTGTGATTTGGACATGAGCCAGGTATTAAGGTTGATTCCGTTTGCATAAATAAAATAGCATTTGATTGTGTAATAATCTGCATGCCGCTGACGGTTCCTTTTAATAGGAGAGTTAGCACGCTAATGAATCCCAGAGACGCATCCACCCACCCACACTGGGACCACTTCTCCACGCACCCTGCCTACTAATGCGTCCCTTCACCTCTTTGTCTCACGCCACGCATTGTACTTGTTAACGCACTCACCAGCGCGTGTATGAAGGGGGAACGGTTGCAACCGGTGTCGTGGGGTAAATAAATATGAAACTACGCTTTGACACCTTTTGAACTGAAGTGGTCAACCAGGGCAGGTTCCCGATCAATCGGGAGCAGTTTGCACGATGCTGATCGGTTCCATAAATTATCCTGCAAAATAGGAATTCCGTGCAAGTAAAAGCAGCGTTTGTGTTAAGGTCCCATTCTTCAAAATAAGCTTTGCTTCTCAGGTTTTTATTTCTCAGCAATCCAGTATATGCCATATACATGTGGTTGTGCATTCACTGGACTATGTATGTATACATATTTTTTTGTTTATGTATGTCCCTACTAGTTATGGAGTGGTTAATTTATATAAATATAAAAAACATGTACTTATTTTGCACTGGTATAATTAGTTTCACTCTATTTACATAAACTGGTTTTAATATTCAGTGTGAAATACGTGCCTGGTTTATTGCATCTACTGCTGGATGAAGCAGCCCCCGTGCCATTTCACCATTCGGCACGGATTGATTAAATCTGTGCCCGGGACGAATTTTTCACGCACGACTCACACGACATGCATAACACGTGCGCGCGCACACACACGTACACACGCACCACTGGTGATTGGCCATGGCCGCGAATCGTGCTCGGGTATGGAGGTTGCACTTGAAGAAATTAGTTGTGCACTGCACTAAGATCCCAGCAACATGTGAGATGCCTGGTCATGGACAACCAACCCCTAGATGAACTCAACATAAACCGAATGGCTGCTTATTATCCAGTCATTATGAGTGTATGGAAACCACAGACACCCCCACCCCTCCCCCTTTATAGGGCATTCAATTCATATTATTATTAGGGGAGGCATAGTCTTGACAGTGCTTGCCACAGCAGTCTAAAAGACTCTGGCTATCTTTGTTTTTGTGCCTCTATATGTGTATATGCATACGGTGCACATCTCCGTTGCTCGTGCTTGTATGTAATTAGGTCGGCGTGTGTGCACCGGTGAGTGTGTTTAGGGTCTCCGCCGTGCGTTTGTAACGTATGGAGACATGGCCAAGCACGTTTTGTTAGCAGGGTAACTGAATTAAATCCACAACAACCGAATGCTATAGGCTTAAAATTTCGATTTAAAGCTTTCGTGACTGCAGGGATTCATCTTCTTGGTTCTTTCGGTAAAGTCACGTAGAATGGAAATAATAAAATAATAAAAATAAACATAATCAAATAATTCTCACGACGTTTCGGCCACAACGCAAGCAGCCGTCCTCAGGTGAAGAACAGGTCTGTCATTCAGACTTTTGTCTTCTCGACAGACCTGTTCTTCACCTGAGGACGGCTGCTTGCGTTGTGGCCGAAACGTCGTGAGAATTATTTTAATGTTTTATTTTTATTATTTTATTATTTCCATTCTACGTGACTTTGCCGAAAGAACCAAGAAGATGCTATAGGCTTCCTCCGAATCCCCGCCAATGTTCTCATCACATGCGGGATTAGAAAAAAAACGCCTTGATATTTGGAGTTGAGGTATTAAACAGCGAGGCCCTGTAATAAGTGCGAGCGTGTGCGTACCTTTAATATCCTCTTAAAATAAGTGTATCAATGCAGACCATAAAACCGCGGTATTGGTTTTGAAATTCAATCAGAAGGGGAGACTTTCACAAATCTTCTCCGTATCCCGTGGCTTATGGAATATGGGATCGTGCATCTCGAATCCCGAAGAAAATACCCATGGCAGAGCTGCCTCCGATGAGGTGTTTACCGTACTTCCAACACGAGAGTTTACACTCAAAATTAACAACAAACGGTTGGAGTGTGCGATGTATCACTCTAGTATCCCCCCCTCCCCCCACCCAGTCTGAGGAATACCATGTGTACAAAGACAAGCATGCCGTACGAATTTCTCTCTGAAAGGTACATTATGGCATTGGTCTGACAGAACGGGAGTGTTTTAAAAGTTGCTGCATGGAGAGACATCGCAGCCAACAGCAGGATTATTGCCTCCCAAAAATCGAGGCACGTTTTCGGGTAGTGTTGACGCACACACGGAGGCAACGGTTTCCACCGTGCAATGCACTTTTCACGAGAGAGAGCCATTTTCCTGCATCTAGGAATGATGTGGCCATAAACATTCGGCTAGGTGTTTCTGGCAGCAAATCCATCTTCCTTTCCGTAATCCTGAGTGTAATACATGAAGCATCACAATATGGACCTTTACGCACCTTGAAAGAAAATGGTTAGTGGTGTACAATATGTGGACATTTTGGGTTATACAATCATCTGTTGTTTTTTTAAACCAAGCATCCTCCATTTCACAGCCATGACTCACTTCATGGGGGGAGGGGGGGGGGCAGCGATTTCTGAACTGGTTGTGGGCCCTCCTTTCCCCATCCTGCGATTGACCAGCGTGGTGAAGTATGGTGAAAGAAAAAAAAAACCCCATGGCCGTCACTTGAGCACGAAGGCCTCCGTTGCAGGCTTCATGTGATCACAGTGTGTAATTTACAACCGGTATAAAAGCTACCTCCATGGTAACATTGGCAGCAGCCTGCCAACTAAATAAAATTAAAATTGAATTACGTGAGATGATAAATATGAAGGGTATACAAAAGCCTTGATAAGTAATTTAGTCTTAAGCCTGGATTTAAAAACAGCGATAAGATGCGGGGTATTCTAATGTTAAGGCCAAGTGCATTGCCGGGTCCATCTGAGGCTCATCCTAAGCACAGCGCATTATACTTGAAAGCTCCTCCAGGTCTTCCGAGGCTTCCCACTCCAAAGACGCCCACTGTCCCGTAAGCCCCCTGGAATTGTGGGAGAGAACGCGTCTCGTGCAGCTCTGCCCCGGATGGGCTTTCACTCCTGTAGCCGGCCCGCACACAGTGATCTCAACTTGGAGAGCGCGAGAGATGGACCCGTTAAATGCCCGTCTCCCAAGGTTTGAGGTTGCTGTCCTGAGAAATCTGCAAATCTCACCCACAACATTAAAAGCCCGGATCTTGTGAGATATTTTTCTTTCCATGAAAGATCCTGGATTTTTTTGGTGCCTCAGAGTTGGCAATGCTACTGACAGTTAACATTTCAAAATAATTCAGAAAATACATATAGGGTGTTATTTTGAAGGTTGTTGTTTATAGTTATAGAAAATGTAGCTTATTTGTAGAATCTATCAATAATTTAACACCCACACAAAAATAAACACACCGTCACCACCACCATCCCAGCGTGGTTGTAAAAGTAATTCCTTCTAAATACATCTGACACCGCGGTATTTTGTGAGGATTTCTCCCTTATCACGCATAGCGGAAGTATTAATTTCCATCTGAATTATAGTTCTAGTTGGTCGACATACTATGCACCTGTATAAAGCCACTTCATGATGATGTTCATGATAGCTCACGCCTTTCAAGAGTCTGAAATGTGCGTCCAAAATCGTTGAACTTGCCATCTGCGTCTTTGGCCGGCAGACTTTACGAGGTCCTGGGCTCCGCATTGTGGCCTGTTTCATTCTCTTTTGCTGAAGGTTAACAGTCGCTCGTTATTTCCATCGTGCCTGCAGAAAGGTGTGTGTGTGTGTGTCTGCATCTATGTGTGCCTGTGTACGTTTGTCTCCCAATGTGCACTTTTCGGCAAAGACAGATGGGTTGTATTTTGCAATGTGCTCACTCAAACGAGACGCCACATGCAGAGAACTAAATTGGATCAAGCTAAGGGAAGCGTTCAATGTCCAGAAGTTTTAAGCTCCACAAAACCATCCCTTATGTTGCCTGTCTTGTTCTCAGAGTTACGTTCAAATTAATTTGAACATGTTTATCCAACAATATGCAAGAGGGCACATTTTTTTATTTCAGACTCTTTCAGACAATAATGCTTTAAGGAAAATATTAAAGTCATAGTCAGTGTTATCAGAATATTATAGGGGAGACCTTAGAAAGCATCGCTTTGTGATCTGCCAATGACATTGCTGTGGGGAGTGGTGGTATAATGGTTAGCGCAATGTGCTACGAACCCGGCCACCCGAGTTAAATTCCCGCTGACGGCCAACACCCACGACTATTATCTGAACTAGTCCTCGGCCTCCCCTAGGTCGACTCAGCCTCAAATGAGTACCTAGTGTGGTACTGGCCACCCACTTCCTCGTGTACTGCGCCAGACTTCATGGGTGCTCGCTAACAGCACTTGCCCCAAAAAGTCTGTAGAGGCTACACGGGGGATCTTTTTTTTTTTGCTTGTATACACATATTGCCCAGTAATGTCTAAAGACACCAGACTCTCAATCCCGAGGTTTTGGATTCACTCCTCTTGAGGTGATTGACATCGCAACCCTTCGCTCCGTTCTCGACAACCGGCACCAGGCACAGCAGGCGAGGGTAGAGGGTGGTGAGGGCGTTGGAGGAGGCAGGCTCTCTGCCTGCACAGGACGAGACCCCTTGTGTCGCTGCCTTACTCCGTGTCCTCACGGGGCGGGGGGCGGGGAAAGACGGGAGCATAAATAAAAAAATTGCGCATTTCCCTTAATGGGCAAATATAAACATGACGGCAACGTCAGGTGATTCCACATCTGTTACGAAGTCACCCTCGCGGCAAAATCTCTTTCCCCGGTTTATTGTAGTCGTGTCTCACGAAATGCGGTGCTTTTTTCGCCTTCCTGCAAATCAGAGATATTGTGTCCGTTTTGAGGTGAAATTGGAGTTATTCCATTAGCTTTGCATCGGCGAATTTCCACCGTCGTTTTCTTTCCACCCGTCCAGCCGAACCTTCGCACCCCACAAGCCCATCTTTGCTCGGCTCTTCCACGTAACCTACCGTCCTCATCAATGTAGGCCGAACGCCAAAAAAAAAAAACCCTCATCGAATTTGGAAACATTTCTTTTGGCGATACTTGCGTCGGTAGTGGTGACAAAAAAAAAAGGGCTCGACGCAATCGTCAAAAACACGACGACAAATATCGTCACCTTTCTTTCACTTCTTCTTTCCAACAATTAAGTGGCATCTTGATAAGAGGGCGTTGCGCGTATGCTGACAATGGTTTTTTTGCAAGAGCCGGCTATTGCTCTGAATTCAAGGTGCATGTCAAGAAAGCTTTGCCCTTTAACCTGTCCGCAACCCCACGTATGCAAAACCTGCGCGCTGACAGCGACTTCCCGCCGTTATCTTTTTAAAGTCAATCTCTCTCCGGCATTGTTATATTTATTTCTCTCTCGCCTCCATGGTCGCTCTTCCCCTTCCCGCGTGTCCCCCCGCCTCTCCCCCCCCCCTCCAACCGCTTCCTTTCCCTCTGGGCACCCGTAGGGCACAGGCAATTTAGATGCACTTACGAAGCAAACACGGCTAAATTGTACACACCGTGATCGCCATAATGACGGTTTAATGTGTTGTCTGCTGTGCCTGCGCTCTACGGCGAGTATGGCCTGTGTTATTGAAGCCTCACAGCAACGCGTAAAGGTTTCTCGCTCATGTGGAAAAAATCTCCTAAATTGTGCGCGGATGCCGGGGGTTCCGTTGTGAGCGTGTTCAGCCAATTCGCGTCGGTGCAGGACTGTGCTGCTTGCTGCTCCTCGGCGTTCTGTCGACGCGCAACTAAGCCGGACTCGCACCTTTGCAGCCCGCGATTGGGTCGAATCGCGAGCTTGTTGTGCATTTTACGACCACTGTTTCAGGCTTTGGCAGGCATTCCATAATTACTCTGCCTGATTAAATTTGATTAATACCTAGAAACCCCCATCATGCTTGTTCCATCCCCCATGGAATGAATTTAAATGCGATAAGCTGTCATAAGCTAGGTGTTAATGGCACACACGGTAGCTTTTCATTAATTCTAATTGCCTGTATGTTAGTTGTTCCGTTTAAAATACCTGCTGTTAAATAGTTAATTAAGCCAAAGAGCGTGGACAGTTGGCAGTGAGGAAATGTCGAGCTCGCGAATTACTTTTTGTTCCCAATGATCCCTCCACGGCGCGTGTGTGCTTCGGACAGGAGCGGCGGCGGCAGGAGTGGACGTCCATCATCCCCAACTCGCAGCTCATCGTCATCCCCTTCCCTAACGACAAGCCCAGGAGGTGAGCTCCGACCAGCGCGGAAGCCCAAATCCGCGGACTTGTGTCCGTGCGTCCGCTCGTTCGCCCGCTCGCACGTTGGCCGCCTCCGTTTAGAACCCGGGGCGAGTGACACCTTGCGCTGAGTTGAGGCCGTTTAGAAAGGGCGGTGCAGGCGAAATGAAAAGGCGTGGCGTTGCAAGCACTTGCTCACGAACACTGCTGCAGGTATCTGTAGAGGGCATCTCTGGAGGGTATTTGAGTTGCTCTACCCACACTTTAGCCCACCACACGCAACCCGCCGGACGGCTAACTGTGGTGTACCCATTTATGCTGCTTCACGCATTCACGATTGGGAGATAATGGCGCTATAATGGGATGGTCACTGATGCAGTGCTTGGCCCACTGCGTGATGCAGCTGGCAACTCGGGTTTGATTCTCACCCATGGCTACCATCAGTGCCGAGTGAACCAGTATTGAGCCTCCACCATCGCCCACCCACAGCAACCGGCGCGGTGAGGTATGGTCAGCCAACACCATTTATACAGCTGTTGGTGCAGAGCAGCAGGGGTGAGGGGGATTTAAGATCGAACCGAGCCTTAGAGCTCTCGGATTTTGCAAGGTCCAGTGTGCAAACCATTACAAACGACCACGAGAGATGTGGAGAGAAATACAAAGTTGACTCTCAACGATAAAAGTCAATGCGGCTCAAATGAGTTGCGGTGCAGAGGTGTGAACATTGCACGTTAATACGGCGGAGGCGAGCCTACCCCAAAGGCAACAACCTCTGTGGACCTCCCACAAAGCAGACCTCATTTTTATCGCCCCCCCCCTCCCCCCCAAAGGGAAAAAGTTACGAGTAAACTCCCCGTCCAGGTTTGAACTCGTAAATGCGATTGCACAGCTGCTGTCCAGATGAATTAAAATACAATGGAGATGAACACACCTGAAATATGCCGACATTTATTGTTGCTGTAATGGCGCCTAACAAATAGCCACTTTTTTTTCCCCGAAAGTTTTTTGTTAATTAACAAAACGATTTTAGGTACACAACACGGACGATATGACAGGGTGTTGGACACCAGCACAAACACACATTACGGATCGCAGTGCAAAGGACTCCTGTCTAAAGCGCATGTTTCAATCAAATCTACAACCGCTGGTGTCTTCTTAAGTAAGCTCTCATACTCATGTAGAGAAAAAAAGGGAGGAGGGAGTGCCTAAATGTCCCAATGAATGCCCTTAAGAATCAATGCCCACATAAAATAGCCATTTTTAAAACCTGTTGATTATGGCGCCGGCCTATAAAGCACGCACTTACAAAAGCGCGTGCGGATAGGCACATATGTGTAAAATGCACATAAAAGCTAAATAATTCCGCTTTTAAAAATTCTACAGAAATTGAAAAATTCCACATGGACTAGCTGCTCAATACCCCAGAGCATGTAAGTGCTTTTGCACGCAGTATTAGACAATAATCTGCACAATACATAATCCTTTTCAAGTGCATTATTGAGTGCATTAAATCCCATGTGTATAGATTTGTATCTAGCCAATGCAGCAGCAGTCATTCAGCGATAATTGTACACCCTTTAAGCTTCTATTGTAGAGTATCGTCCTGTTCAACGCATGGTGCGCAGCCATAGCCTTGCACGCTCTGTACGAAATACATTGTTTGAATATGTGGTGTACAGCCATCGCCAATATTACCGTTAAAAATGTAGATAGTGTGGAATGGTGAGTGGTGGTGCAGTGCTTTTATGCGCTGCGCTATAAATCCTTAGTTTGATCCACGGCCAGCACCGGTGATGATATCAGAAACAGTCTACCTTCCCCCCCATCATCAAGTCACACTGACCAGCTTGGTGAAGTATGGTCCACTAACATGGCACAGGGGAGAGGCTTCCATCCAGTGGTGGATTGAGAATGGCTGTTGATGATTTTCAAAGCAGCAGCATCATCATCAATCAATCAGAATAGGTTGGACATTATTTATTTCACACCTATATTTCAGATTTGCAAGGTGCCTCCGTTGTTTGAGCACCTCCAGATCGGAGCAGGGACAAAATGCATTCACGCCAAACACCGCCACGGAGGGAGGGAAGGAGGTGGGGGGGGGTGCCTGTGACCCGCACAAAGTCGCGATCGTCTCCAGCGTACTAGCGACACGCGGGCGCAGAACCTCGGTCCGCTCGCCCCCGTCGCCGCCGCTGCCCTCCCGGCACGCGACCGCGGCGAGACGGCGCGCGGCCGCGGCGAGACGGCGCGCGGCCGTGCCGGAGCGCTCGCCACTCTGCCGGCGGGGAGGAAGCGTGGGGGGAGAGCGGGAGCGGCCGTGGCTGCGCGTGGTCACTCTCCCTCCCTCCCTTGCGCCTTCCCTCCTCCCTCTCTGTCTCTCCCTCTCTCCACTGAATCGATAGAGCGGCCGCACCCGGGGCCGTTTGGCAGTCCGGGCGCGCACGCCGCCCCTCGCAACGTAAGCGTCGGCCAAGCGCGCTTCAACAGAGCCCCTCTTTGTTCCAATTTCTTCCTTTCTGCCGCTCCGTGCCTTTTTCTTTTCCGGCTGGCTAAGGTACGCTCTCCAGCGGCACCGAGAGACGGATGCGAAATGAGACCGAAACTGTTGACTGGTTGGAAGTCGGCAAAACACAACTCGCTCACAAGAAACGCCGCGCATTTACGAGCGAATGAAAAATGACAGCAGTTTTTTCTTTTTTAAACCCAGATTTCTTACTCAGCCCTCAACTTGAAGTGGTGTGCATCACTGCTATTAGCACGGTTGGCTACGTACGGTGCGAAAGAAGTTCGACAAACATACATACTTGGAGGGTCGTGGGTTTAAATGTTACAGGGTGATGTGAAATTGTAGCGATGCTGAACGTTAAGAGGGACTGTCCTCTACGCTTCCCTTTTGGACTCCCGTAATCGTGCGATGGATCTGTCGGCCGTGTATGACAGTCGACCTTGCCACTCTCTCTCTCCAGCCCCACTCGATTTAGCCTGACCTCTTTTGCACTCCCTTTGCACATCTGTCCACACTCGTTCCCCTTCAGCCGTTTCACCGACTGACACCGCCACCCGGGAACTCGCGTGCGAGCCTCTGCCTCTTTATTTTTCATAAAGTTTTCATTCTTCACGTTTTTTTCCACATTTTCTCTTTCACTCTCTCTCTCTCGCTCACTCACTCGCTTTCCTGTTTCTTTCTGTGCCTTCATGCTCTACGCGTAACGATTCACACCCGTGGTTTGAGGAATTGTTACGGTTTGTGGTCATGGTTTGACTTAAGAATCGGTCAATTCCTGTCTCATTTCTTCCGTCTCATCCAACTATTTGCGTGTAATCGTTAAACATTGTTAATAATGTGTTTCTGCGTGCACGATTGTACGCACTTACCAAGTAATACACCAACATCTATTTTAACCGATATATTGTTATATGTGCGACATTTGAATGTATGTGTCTATGCAACAGAGGCACAGATCCCCCGTATAGCCTGCTGTTCGCGAGCACCTATGAAGGCTGACACTGTACACAAGGGGGTGGGTGGTCAGCACCACGCCCGACCACCTTTGTCTCCCCAGTGGCGATGTTTACACACAGCTCCAGGTACTAATTTGAAGCTGAGTCTACCTAGCGGAGGCCCAGGACCGGTACAGATAATCGTCACTGGTGTTGGCCGTGAATGGGAATCGAACTTGGGTCGCCTGGTTCGTAGCGCAGCGCGCTAACCGCTGCACCGCCACTCCCCACACACACGCGCACACACAGAATGGGGAAATAGCGGTTAGCGCATTTTGCTATTGCCGTCGCAACATGGGCTCAATTCGTAGCTGTGAAACAATACCGGTAGCAATCGGTGTCTGGACCTGCCGTTGGCCTCCATTCATCTCGACCCGAAAAATAAGTACCCGACGCGCTGCATTAGCATCATCACGAGGGAGGAATAATGTGACTGAGCCCCCTTGCGCTCGCCAGAACGCCCGCTTTTGTGCTCTGCTGGGCATCCGAGGTGCTCACTCACCACTGCATTTGCCAAAAAGATAAAGGCTAAATGAGGGATATTTTACCTCCCCACAATTCCTGCCTCTCTCTCTCTTTCCGCCGTTTCCACCTCCGCCGTGGGAAAGCAACTTCTTACACAATGCTCGACGGGCGTTGTCATTGTGTCACAATCGTGTTACGTAAAACACGTCATGTGTTAGGCATCACATTGATCGTGGCCTACGTGTCTTGTAAATAAACCGAGGCAAGAGGCCTGTGCTCAATTACCCCCCACCCCCCCCCCCCGTTCGCCCGCACATGGCTGAGCGCACAGAAGATGATTAAGTGTGACAAACTAGACTTGCTCTCCCATTCTAATCCTAATGTGGAACCTGCAGCTTTAAAACGGGAGCCACCATCGCTACTGAAGACCCCGGTGACCACCGGCTATTAATTTGCTTTCTGCAATTCTGGGTAAAAAAAACCTTTCCCGTGAAGCCAGTGAATGAGAAAAACAGCAAAGTTCAATGGGCTATATCCTGACAGAAGGAATTTCTGCAAATGCATCGGTTTATTTTTATTTAAACGTAGATATTTCCCTGAAAAATATCAAACTGCTGGTAATTTAATAATGAATAAAGGCACGACAAATGAAAACAACATTTTAGAGCATCAGCCCTTGGGCCTTCCTTTTACTGCAGCATCAGCAGCAGGAGCAAGCTCTGGAATAGAATCGACCAAATTCAATGATAAATCAAATCAGAGCAATATGGTGTAATGGCTATCGTGGTGGATTGTGGGTGATAAAAGAATGAAAATAGACACTAATTTCAATTGAAGCCCTGATTGGCGCCTCTTGATGGGACACGTGAACGTACCACATGGCTCGGCTGAGCTGAATGATTTCGTTAGACACAGGTAATCGTGGGACACACAGTGCGTCTGTGTGGTCGGCCCAAAATAGCGTTCAGCTTTTCACATAAGTATGCTACACTTGATGTAAAAAATATATTGTGGCAATAGTGCACGCATCGCATACACGTGCTGACTGCGTTTACGTACACAATATCTATATTCTATGTGTCTCATTTCCAAATCTCAATGTTAGTAATTTTCTTAAATGAATCAGCTGCATTGCACAACGACCTCTCAACAACATCATGGGCCACAATTTATCCACTGCTGGATGAAGGCCTTCCCAAGCTGTCGCCGTATCTCACAGGAGCGCGCTGCAGCAATCCGTCTAGCGCCCGCACATTCGAGCTAAAGTTCATCACTGCTTCTCCACGGTGGATCTCCTCTCTGTTGCCACTCTGTCGTTAGTTTTGACGACAGATTATCATCCTTTCAAGTGGCATATCCTGCCCAAGCCACTTGCTACGCTTGACAACCTTGTGCATCTTGACTTAAAGCTTTCGTGACTGCAGGAATTCATAATCTTTGGGTCTTTCGGTAAAGTCACGTAGATCGGTTCAAATGAATAAAAAATCTAATAAACGGAAAACTACGATGTTTCGAACGCGACACAAGCGATCGTCATCTTCCTGATCCTATCTACGTGACTTTACCAAAAGACCCAAAGAACCTTGTAACGTGTTTTGGAATCCGCGTGCTTCTCTTTCTGCCTCGAAGTGTGATTCAAAGAATGGACCTCTCCAAGCTGCTTTGTGCACTTTTCAGCTTTCTTTTCATTTTCTTTATCCAATGTCCGTGTTTCTGATGCGTAAATCACAGCAGGTAACATTCACTGATTAAAAATATTCCTTTCCAGAGTGCTGTACATTTTCGTTTATTGTGTTATGGTAATCGTGGCTATATAAATATATATTTTTTTATTTTGGCCAATTTAGATCTGCCGTGCACAGAAAGGACCGCGTGGGAGTTGAATAGTGTGAAACGAGCTGTAGTTTTGCACGTTGCCTCGCGACAGCTGACAGCCCTGGCGTTCTATGTGCACATAAGCGCGTGTGTACTTGTGTGTGCGCGTGTACTTGTGTGCGCGCATGTGTACTTGTATATGCGCGTGTGTATGTGTGGGGAGCGTTAGTGTAACGGTTAGCGCGCTGCGCTACGAACTCGGTAGAGTTCGATTCCCGCTCATGGCTACCAACACCAGTGACGATTATTTGAACCCGATCCTGGGCCTCCCCGAGGTCGACTCAGCCTCAAATGAGTACCTGGTGCGGTGTGTAAACATCGCCAGTCGGAAACAAAGGCGGCCGGGCGTGATGCTGGCCACCCACCCCCTCGTGTGCCGTGCCATGCCAACCTTCATAGGTGCTCGCAAACAGCACTTGCCTCAACAGTCTAGTAAGGCTATACTGGGTGATCGTTGCCTTTGTGTGTGTTTGTGTATTTGTGCTGTGTCTTTAGCTGGAGTACCAAGCTGTATCTGACTCCCAGCCAAGGTTTGCTGACGGGCATTGCCCTGCTCTGCATCTGCATTGCCATCCTCATCATCATCGGTATCCTGCACTGGAATGAGAAGGTAAATAATTTCCACCTGCCAAAATCTAATGTCTGTGTGTCTGTGTGTTTGTGTGTGTGTGGTGTGTGTGTGGTGGGGAGCCGTGTTGCAGTGGTTAGCGCACCGCGCTACGAAGCCAGCGACCGTTATCACAACGAATAACAGTGGAGAATATTTGAACTGGTCCTGGGGCCTCCTCTAGGTCAACACAGCCTTAAGTAAATACCACATTGCTGTGTGCAAACATCAGCAATGGAGAGACAAAGGTGGTCATGCTTGGTGGTGTCCACACCACCCCCTTTTGTGCTGTGCCATCCTTAATTGGTGCTTCTCTAAAAGCACTTGCCCCAACAGTCTACAAGGTTACATAGGAGATTTTTGTTTTTATTTGACACCGAGTGTGTATGTGTGCTCATGTGCCTTTGGGCGTCTGTGTGTGTCTATACAAGTCTTTTCTGATTGGTTTGACTCTTCTGTATTACATCAATGCTGTCTTTCAAAATCCCACATTCAACTTGTGAATATTATCACATTAAAAATACTCGTTAATTTTACGTCAGTATAACTGTCAATTTTAGTTTCTCATTCTCAATGCATTTCAATTTACAGAAGCATTTGTACACTCACAAAAGTATCACAGATTACATCCGCTTCATGCTTTAGAACGAAGTTTGTCACGTGCCGATCAAAGTCACATTTTCATGTTTTTAACTGCCAGATCTGCAGTGTTTCGCCAAATTAATCAAAACCCACAATTTTACGTGATTGGGGTAGTGTACGGTCAGTGGTATTCACACTGAGACCCTAAGCTCACGACATTCACTAAGGTCATGGTTGGCTGCAACCGGGATTTGAACCCAGGATATATCTCTACGGTACTGGCTCAATGCGCTAATCCCTAAGCCACCTGCCCAACTCCCCAGTGGAGCAGTTTTAAAAATGCAATTTTTTTTTTTACTATTCAAGGGCCTTCAGTTGATAGCTTCACACGGCTCAGAGTTGCCAGGCAGCGTTTTATAATGAGACCGAGCAGCAGTAAACACGAGGCAAGATCTTCACACCAACCGTACGAAGATATAAACACGAAACATAAAGTGTGTGTTTTATTTTCACATTTACAGTGAGGCGAGGCGGTTGGAAAAAAGTAATAAGTGTTGCTTGTAATTATAGCATAATTTTAAGTCACCCAAGGAGAGATTAGATGTTCAAATTCAGCTCTAACTGAACTGTGTGTAAACCAAATGGGACATAAATAACAAAAAAAATTAAACCTTCACCACACAGCAAAAATTTACATGAATAACACAGCGAAGACCTTTGGTGGAATATTTATAAAACTACATCTGGTCAGAGATCCCTCAGGAATGCCAGCCGGACGTTTAACAATGCCACATGCAGAATGTGCGCACGGTAAAGCCCTCCGGCGGGAATCCCTGTTGATTATTTATAATACCACATGCAAAGCCTGCATATAGTCAATTACAATTACCGCAAACCAGGAGTCAAGGGATTCATTAAAATGCAATTATTAGCAACCAGGCCGAGCTCTTCACTCGCGCCTACATCACGCGTGAACGAACGCGCTTTCAATGTGAAACCCGTTCGACGTCGGTGGACGGTGATCACGACCACCACGTTAACCACGGCTGGCGCAAAGTTGTGTGCCAACATGTGGGTCGGCCCTTGCCGTTGGCATACGCAGAGGATTTAGTTTAACCCCATTTCGATACACGGCAGCCGACCATTGAACTAAATCCCCGCTTGTTAGATATGTTAATTAAACAGAAATTAGGCCCTTTTGGTCGTGTTTTTTTAAATGTTTTATTCATTCCCGCCCAACGATGCCGCCACGTTATAAACGTCTGCTCCGGACAGGTATTTACATTGTCGGCAATTTGTATCCATTTTCCGTAACGGCCTGATCGTGCCTTTGTTTTGGAATGTCACAGACAGTTGTTTGCATCTCTTCGTAGGTGACTTTAAGTAGAATTCGCTGAATTCCCAATTATATAAATTGTGTGTTCATTACGGATACCATGAGAATGTTAAATAGCCGGATTAAGTCGTAGAGTTTATATACAGACAGTCCCCAGGTTACGTAAGGGTTAGGTTCCTGAGAACGATCCATAACCCGAAATCTCTGTATGTTGGAAATTTAACAATTTTCCCCCAAAATCAAGACAATTTACTTTTACCTTAATCCTCATGAAGCTCGAGTGAGGCGTAAGGCTGCCTGCCTTACGCGGTATCACTGTGCGGCGACGAGCTGTTGCGCGCACACACGTTGTCGCCCGAGTGTTTGGCACAAGTGGCACGTGCTGATACACCGGGTGCGCAGTGGGAGTGTGGCCCATATTCTGCGGCTTGCAAGATAAGCGAAGCACCGGGCCGTATTAATTGGAGAGACGATATCTTACCATAGTCGAGCATCTTTGAGCCTCGCACATGGAAATAAGAATGTGAGACGGGCAACCTTTCTCATGTAACATAACAAAGTCATCATTACTGTCTAGGTTCTCGCTATCGTGCTCTATAGCTCGACGATGTGTTTTCGGGCTGTACCGCCGATTTGAGCGGCTCACTTTCTCGAAGCCACCGCTGGCCTCCGTCGGAGAGCTCGCCCTGTCGGCGTCAAAAACTCGCAAACGCCAACAGCAATCGCGGGGGAATGCGCGCTGCTCATTTGAGTTCCTGAAGACGCTCCCAGGAACGTAGATGCGAAACGTCGGACATCGTGCCGACCGACGTGCTGCGGTGCAGCCCGAAAACGCATCGGAGAGCCACGCTGAAAACGTGAATCCACAAACGACGATGTAAAAACTCATTGCCGAATAAATTGTCTTTTCCTTGAAGAGGAAAAAGTGTGTGAGCAAAACATCGTCACACACCCGGGTGCACATAAACAGAGTGCCTGCGCTCACTTGCCGATACACCTCGAACTAGGTATCAACACTCGCTGCTTTCCTTACGTGCCTGTCAACCCAGCCGCAGTGATTGTGTGTCAAACTCGCTAATTGTCACATGCAAGGTGCTATAGATCACGCTCCCCCCCCCCCCCCCCCCCCCACGTGCGTTCCGTATTAATGCATTCATAAAGGTAAATATGTATATATATACTCATTCAATGTTGCATCTCAACATAAAAATTGTAAAACACGTAGGCTTTCTATTATGGAAGTAAAATGCTGTTTGGGCTCCCCCCCCCCCCCATTCCTCCGTTCATTCGTTGACATTTTTCTCAAGTTTGTTTTGCACGTTCCATATTGCAGAGGCGTATTTGTCCCTGGGATGAGACGGCGGGGGTAGACTTTTAAAGCAATCCAATGATTCCTTATTTTGAATGGGCAGGCAGCTGTTTTGCGACAGGCTGGTGAAGAGTGGTGAGTGACTCTTGAGAAACCAATGAAAGTGCTTTTAAATAATCCACTCTTGCACGATGAGTACCATTCAACAGCGGGCTAGCAGTTTGGCACCAACGTTTTAAATCCATTTTCAGTTTCGATTTCTTTTTTTTTAAATAATGGATTTCACGATTCATAATAGGTTTTCCCCTTTTTTCTGGCAACAAAACAGGTAGAATCTTGACTTAAAGTTTTCGTGACTGCAGGGTCTTTCGATAAAGCCACTATTTACGTGGCTTTAACCGAAAGACCCAAAGAATATAACAAAACACGTGTTAAGATGGTTAAACACCAAACTGAAACCTTTTACAAGGAATCATGTCTGCATTAACCACAATACTTGTGGTCAGAATGAAACCAAAAACATACTCTGATAATATATGCATTGTCTTTGAAACTTATTTGTCCACACCAGAGACGGCTTTCTTTTGAGCCTCGTCTCAAAACGGTGTTAGACCAGAGGATGCCTTTTGGTGCCTTTTGGTGCCTTTTGGTGCCTTTTGGCGTCCTCTGGTCTAACACCGTTTGAGACTAGGCTCGAAAGAAAACCATCTCTGGTGTGGACCAATCAGTTTCAAAGACAATGCATATATTATCAGAGTATGTTTTTGTTTGCATTCTGACCACAAGTATTGTGGTTAATGCAGACATGATTTCTTGTAAAAGGTTTCAGGTTGGTGTTTTAACATCTTAACACTGGTTTTGTTGCCATAAAAAAAGGGAAAAACCTATTGTATTTTATCAAATCGGCAAAAATTGGCTCTCCCCCCCGCCCCGCGCCTCACCAATTCAGGCCAACCTGAATGGTGAAGTATGGTCTGACGACGCCCATAAGCAACTGGGGGAGGGGGGGTGCGGAGGTCACGCTGACCTGGATTTACTGTGATCTGTCTTCCGGTGAAGTTTTATTCCTTACTCCATTGCCACGGAATGTAGTCGCCGTTTTCGTCCGGCTGTTATCTGCGTTCCAGTTGAGCTCAATGACACTGTTGGGCGCTCACCTTTTACATTTGCACTTGCAGTTCCTGCGGATAAGATGTCGTTCCTGCTGAGCTGTGGCCACGAGAAAGGTTCATCTTGCCCAATTGGCCAGAGCAGTGCATCGGCAGACCCAGTGTCGTTGACAAATTTCCATGGAAAAACAACTGCAATTACTGAGATACAGTATTGTATTTCATTGGGCTCCCAGATGGGGTGGTTTCAAATAAAACAATTGATTGATTCATTTAATATACGTGTGAAACTGGAAATTGCATCGGGACTTTTTGCAAATGAGTTGAGTACAACTCAATGACGGCATCATGTGTAATGATGATGGTGATGATGATGGTAACGAAGTGCCACCAACGTTCTACCTCGGCACTTGTCCAGCAAATCGGCTCCCACGTTGATCAGCTTGACTGCGTTTCCAGGAGCTGTTAATCTGTCTCCTGGGTGGATTTTGGCTCGGGGTGAAATGGCACGAAGTAATATGTTCATCCACTCCTCTAAACAATCATGGTAAAACCTGGCCAAATTACAACCGCTCCCGACCAAGACCTTTCCCCTTCTTTTTTTTTACTCCATAGACTCTTGGCACGCAACAACTGCCTTACTGTTGATGACATAACGCGGATTGCC